AAATAAAGTTAGTGATAGAATCTTTAATGATATTATGAGACACTAGTATCAAAAGTATGTTGAACCTATGGAATAAGGCACTGCAAGCATGTTATAGAGTTACACCTAATAGATCATTTTCTAATGAATGTGTAAACTAGGTGGGCAGTTTAAGGTTGAGATTGGGTCTTTAGTACCACTTCTTTTGAATGACTGTCAATGCCCATCATTCATGTTGGTTCTGTTATTCTGAGGCTGAGAGTGGGAATTTGTTTGCATGTTTTGCTGAAGTTCTGTGGATTTTTAACAAGGGGGTTAACTTGTTTCATTTATTGAGTAAAAATACAATTTTTCTTCAATAGCTGGGAGTGTTTAGAAAAACAAACCCAACAAATTAACTAGAAAATTGATTCACCTCTGCAAACACATACAGGAACTTTTTCTGCCTGTTTCAATGAACATCATTACCTCTGTGCTATTCAGTTTTGTAGAGATCATACAAACCCAGGAAATAAGTAATTAACAGGATGCTCTGCAGATGTCATCGGAGCACTATGATCCCTATGTCACAAAAATAATAAACAGAGGTGGGCAAATGCTATGAAATCTTAACATAAATGGAGAAGAAAACTGCTAACAGAAATAATGACAGAGTAGTAGCTGAATTACAGGTGAGCTAGATGGCTTTCTCTGTTGCACTTTAAATCAATTTCTTAGAAATCCTGATGCTTACTGATGACCAAAAGAAGGTAGAGATTTATTACTGTAAAAAAGGGGGAAGAAGAGGAATCACCCAGAATATTCTGAGTTGGAAGGGGCACCGCGAGGATCATCAAGTCCAACTATAAATTGAATGGCCCACACAAGGATCAAGAACACAACCTTGTCATTATCAGCACCGTGCTCTAACCTACTGTGTTACTCTCAAAATGTTCCCTTACAAGTGATACACAGGTTTTGGGTCACAATATCTGTGAATATTGGTATAAAGACAGAATAGTGGCCTTCTCTGAGAAGAGGGTTACAAATACTTAAACCAAGACAAGGAAGTAAGATGAAGGAAAGGGACTTAAGTCATTTTAATAGAGAATGCATTTCATAAGTTTAAGGTTAAAGACCAATGCTTGTTTGCAGAAAGATTAAGCTAAAGGTTACCTCATTTCTTTACCTAAATACCGAAAACCGTTTCTTTTCTTTTTCCAAGAATTGCATTCTTTAAAAAAATGCTCAGCGCACTCGGACAAAATATTGTACAGCCCATTGCTTGTTTGTCTGTTTCCTCAGGAGTCATCCAGGAGGTTTGCTCTACACAAAGGAAGTGTTTTGGAAAACTAAATTAAGCATTTGAACTTCAGCTATTGCAGAGGAACCCAGAGATGTGGGGAGGACTTGGCCTACTGTGTTGTGAAAACTGTCAAATCTGCAGCGAGTGCAATGTGGGATGAGTGGGCCAAGGAGCCAAAGCTGTTAAACACAAAGAAACAAAAAACTCTGGCACCGTTAATGCTTTTATGCTTTTTGTTATTTGTCATTTTTAATGCCTGACCCCTCTTATCTGCCTTACTTTCCAGACAATAGAGTTGTCCTAATCTCTTGGATCAAGCTCCCTTTGTAGGGAACTCTGCTCCCTCTGGTCCCAGCAATTTAATATGTTCATTGTCTTTCTTGAGACCTTCACCGTTTCTCATCTCTTTCAGAGATGCTGGGGATGGAGGGGTGGGTACCTCTGCTGTCCCTTTCCCCAGGGCTGCCAGCTGCTCAGTGGTGACACAAGCCAGCACACTGGGACTAAATGTCTAGGAAAGCCCAAGGAATACTGAGCCTATCCCGCTTAGGCCAACCGTTACACATCAAGTTTCTTGAAGCAGCCACTCCCCTCTGTTGCTTAAACATACAGAGTCATATGTTGTAATCTAAATACATACCCTTGGGCCCCTAAGCAAACATAGACACAATTACTTCAATGTAGTTGAGATTGGGGATGGGATGGCCTGTTTCCATTTAAAATATTTCAGATTTTTTCACAGCAGTTCTTTCTGTGGAAACAAGCTACTTGTACTTCTAATCCTCCAAATTTGCTCAGGATGCTCTGTTTTGTCCTGAGAGTAGAAGAGTGGCACTCTGGGGTTTTTGCTATTCTTACCCCCTGCTCAAAATGTGTGGAAACTACATCCTGAGCTCTCTGGTTTCCTCTTTTTATTTGTGTTTTCAAGCTTCCTCCTCACAATGTCTGGAACCTTATCTGAGTACAAATGTCTGCCTCCGGGGCCACTTTTTTTTCCTTATTTTGTTTTGTTATGGAAATGACCGTGACACAGAATCTGTTGTAGCCTTTTGCTAGTTTGTGTATTGCAAGCAGAGGTTTGCCCAAAGGCGGAAGGATCATCAGACAGAACAAAACTGCTCTGGCAAATGTGGATCTGACCCTCTGTGGAAGGGGAACTCTGCATCTCATGTCATATGAGGTTATGAAGTCCACCCTTCCCTTTAGGCTGTGACAGAGGAAAAGCTGTCTCTGTTTCACTGCTGTCCCTTATGCCTAAACTTAATGGCTGCAGAACAGTATGTAACACCATTCACTGATCCTGTAGCTGTGGGAATACTATTCACATGTTTATCAGTCCATCAGTTAAAGTAGATCGTCTTCAACACAGAAATCTGTTCCCTGTAACTCTGTGAATGACCTGGATGGTTTTAGGTGTAGTAGACCATAACTATAACCATTCATGGCAACCCTTCCCCACGGGGCCCTTATGCTCCAGGTAAAAACTTCCTCTTGTGTGAAAACAGTGCTGTCTGTCTGTTTCGTGATCACTGACTCTTAGTGTATCATCCTTCCCCATAAAAGTTTCATCTGTCTCAGTTTGAAACTGAAGTTCCTCAGGGAAAAAACCCAAAACACAAAACCTGTCACTGGCAGATTGGTTAAAAAAGAGCTTATTGTGGTTTGTCAAGTACATATACATTTTGAAAGGACTTGAAATACACCAGTCTGGGCATCCTAAGAGGTGTTCAACATGGCATGAAGTCATGTCTATCTTTCTCTGACAGGGGCCTGTATATACCTTCTGCTTATTAAATTTGGACTCCTCAGCCCTTAAGTGAATTCTTTGGTAAGCCCAGCTGACTCAGTTTCTCGAGTTTCTACCTGTAGTGGGTCTAAGCACAGCATTTGAAAAATCAGTCCTAAATTCCAACTATTTTTTAAAACTACTGTCCAGCTGGGTTTAATTTCTTTAATGTGTGGTATTTATATATATATGTATATATATATGATTTATTTCCTGTGATGATACTCTACTGGCAAATATTCTTTATAGAAATCAGTGTGTGACTGGTACATAAGCATTCATACTTCTATCAGTCTTGTTCCAAAAAAAAAGTATTTCTTACTGATATATCTGTGCAGTTATTTACTACAGTGAAGAGGTTTAAAGTTGCATTTATTAACTAAACATAATATCAACTGGACTCTTTTTTTTTTTTAAATGATGTTTCAAGGTGACCAACAAAATTACTTCTGCCATGCTAACATTTAAAAATGTTGCTGCATTGTCACTGCAGGTAAGGTCAGTTGTCCCTTGTGCTTCCCAAGCCAATTTTTCTCAATAAAATGACAAACACTTAAAGTTTACCTTCAGCTTCATCTGCTGAAACACTTCTCCTTGAGCTTTTAAACCAAAGCTAACAGTAATTCAGAAAGAATCTACTCACTAAAGCCTTAATTATGTATATTGTTTTATTTTGTTGATCCCTATTTTCCTATTCTCAGAAAGATTATAAACAGGAGTGTTGTACTGCCAGTTGGAGTGATGCAAGCCAAGTGAACGTTTATTTGTGAAGGAGAAAGTACTGGTCATTGTTTGTGACAGGGCTGCAAAGGGATTTGAAAGCCCATGTCCAGGTGTGGTTCTCCAGGTCCTAGCATCAGAATCCTGCTCTTCCTGCCTCTCTTTGGGGCAAGACCTCTGGAAGCTTGTGGTAGGCACAGAACTGGATGGTGTCCAGCCGTAGGGATGTGCACTCACTTGTCCAATTGCAAAGATAAAGTAAAAGTGACACTTCTGAGAGGAGAGCAGGTTCTGGCACAGGCAGGGCATAGCAGCTGGCTGCAGGTGCTCATGGCCTGTGCTCCAGTGGCTTCACCTTCTGGGTAACTAGCAGGGAAGATGCTGGGAAGCTGGTCTTCACCAGTCTGAGAAGGAACCAAAAGAGCTAGGGTGGTTGGCAACTTCCTTTGGAGTGGGAGGCTGACAAATCTGTAGGTTAGGAGCATGGGGCCACTTGCCATGCCTGGAATGGGACTTGAATGTCAGAAGATACGGAGAAAAGTTGCTGAGACTCTTCCAGCACTGTCTTGTATTTGTAATTTGCATGAAGTCTGTCAGGGATAAAAGGTGGTGGAGGGTGGGTTTCTTTCAGGCCTTCCAGGCAAGTAGGCTAAAATTGGCTCTTTCCTGAAGTTCCCCTGGAGATGCAGCTGGAGGTATGAGCTCATTCTATGAGACAGGTAGGTACAAGAGATGACTTTTGAGTAGCTATTGCAACTTTGTCTCCTTTCATGATTTGGTGGGGTTTTTTTCCCCGTGGGCTGGACCTCATATATGGAAACAAGCAAGGTCATCTCTTCTCAGGGTAGTTCCTGTGTCGTTGGTGTATCTGCTCAGTCTTCTGCGAATCAAGAAAAACAAAATCAAACAAAACCCACACCAAAAAAAAAAAAATCCCTAACAAAAGGACTTTCTCTCTGCAGCCACAATGCCATTTACCCCCCGCCCGGAGCCAGGGATGCAGTCCTGCTCCAGAGCACGGCCCGGCGGAGCCAGCGGCCGTTCCCTCGGGTAGCTCCGGGCGGGCGCCGCTGCCCTCGGTCGTGCGGGACTCTCCGAGACGGCGGATAAACCCGAGGTGCTGGTAACGCCGTAGCTCTGAGGTAATCTGCTTTGAGGAGACCAGGAGGTCAAGCCTGCAAGTTAAATGGATTTGAGTCATGTAGAGTTAAACTAACCCCTCCCACAGCCATGGACCACTAAAGCGCCCATTTTCATGAGCACCTCTCACTAAGGCAGCTCGGAGCCGGCGGAGGCTGAGAGAGGAAGAGGGAGGGAGCGAGCACCAGAACTGATGGATGAGCCAAAGGGTAAGGAGAGAAGCGAACCGCTGATCTCCAAAGGCAGCCCTCACCCCCGGCGAAGGGCGCGGGGGAGCGGGAGGGCTCGGCGGGGAGCCCCCGGCGTGGCGGCATCCCGCGGCCGGCACTCGGGGGAGGCTGTGCATATTCATGAGGAGCTCCTTCGGATGTGCCAGTCAGGCGGGAGCTGTGGCTGCGGCATCCCCGGGCGGCGCGTCCCTCCCTCCGCGCCCGCGGAGCGCTGCGGGCGGTGGGCGAAGGCTCCGCGGCGGGGGCTTGCCGGGGTGGGCGCAGCCTTTGCCGCAGTCCGCCCCCGGCTGACATCATCTTCCAGCCCTTGGACTCCTGGTCGCTCCTGAAGGACAATGCCGAGTTGTGACTGGGGTGCCCGGGTGGGGGGCCGGGAGGAGCCGGAGGTGCCCGCGGGCTGGGGGGTCCCGGGCGGTGCAGCGGGGCGGGCGGCAGCGGGGGCTCCGCGCCGGCGTCTGCCAGAAGTTTGGTCGCGTCAGTGCGAGGGATTCCCTCCCCGCGGCGGGGAAGAGCCGGCTGCGAGTCCCGGCTGCCGCCGGCTCTGCCCGCGGGGTCGGGGCCGCTCTCCAAGGGCGAAGGGGGCGGGGAGGCAAGAGCAAAAACTCAGTGGAAGTGTTAGCTGTTGGAAAACCGCGGTGGGAGGCAACAGCTCTGAGGCTGGAAGCAGTGCTGTGCTGGGTACGAGGGGCTCTCGGTGCATGGTCTCGGAAAAGGAGGGTTCGCCACTCGGCAGCCGGGCAGCCCTCTGGCCTTAACTGCGATCCTGCGGATCGGGGGAGAGACCCGGCAATAGCTCTCTTGCACCGGGTTTTTTCTACAAGATACATGTCTTTCACTAGGCTTTGCCTTTTATAATCAGCTGACACGGTGCACGTAGCAGCACTAGTCACACAACGTTTGGCAGAAACATTTCCTAGTTTAGTATCAGCTTTTGTCTATCTGGGTGCCTTACCCATCTGGGTGCCTTACCCTCTGTTTACAGCGCCTTCTGCAATAGGGTCCGTCTTTCCGTACTGCTGACAGCACTGTGCTCTGCGTGGCTTTCGAACACAAACCAGGAACTCGGATAAATAAGCAAGAAGCAGTACACTGAAAAAATATCTGGGCAGAAACTTAGCTTTTAAACTGAGTGAGAAGCTTAGGGATAATAGTTTCCACTATTTTGGTAGTTTCTTGTTCAGTACCAGGTGGAAGTCTCTAATTTATCATTGTTATGACAACAGGGAAACAAAATGTGATTTTTTTTTTTCCCCCTAAAATAAACAAAATGGTAAACTAGACCTCTCCAAGGTTTTAGCTTCACAGATTGTAAAGAATAGCATTTGGGAGGAAGAAGCATTTTCTTAGTCTGACGTACATCAAAATTTTAAGCAAAGTATGGCAGAAGGAGAAGGTTAGCTCATTAGTTTATGCAGTCATGAGTGAAGCTGGAAATATTTAGAGATAATTTGCCTCTGCTAAGGAGGGAGATAAGAACAGCTTTGAAACCAGTCTTTTAAAAGTTTCATTCCAAAAATAAAATACAATGCGTGAATGGAGACTTCTAGTGAGTGAGGAATCACAGGGAAGAAACTTAGATAATGAGAACTGATTTAGCAAAGAGGATCAAATAAGCCTTCTTTTAGAAAGTGGAATTTTAAAGAGGCAGAAGGAAACTGAAGAAAACTGACAGTGCTCAGGACAGTTGCAGAAGAGGCAGTGATGGTGTCAGAATGGGCTGACCTGCAGAGCAGGCAGGTCTTATAAGAGCCTAAAGAAAATTAGTGTAAAAAATAGCAAGAAACTGTGTTTTGGGGGGGGACAGAAAACACAACACTGTTTTTGAGAACTCCTCTCGCAGTATCTTTTACAGAGGCAGCAGTCAATGGGTGCAACATGGGCAAGTCCAGGACAGGCAGTATCTATCAGGTATTAGGAAAGTTTCCACCTTGAAATGAGGGACAAATGGACACCAAGGCCATGTCCTTTCATCAAAAAGGAATTATCAGGGAGTGTTTCAGTAAGAGACCTGTTTCCTGTGAGCCTTGTCCATGAGGAAGCCTGATTTTAAATATTGATGCTGTCATCTCTGCTTTGATATTTAGATTAATATATTAACATAGCCAAGGAAGAAATTCTGTTTGGGATGCTACAGAGCAACAGGTTATATTAGTGATTAGTGTTGAATACCTTCTTGGACAGAAAGCATGACTGCCTGACAAATACATGTTACTGGAAAACATATAGGTGTGCTTCAGTCCAGGGAGAGCATGATGGTGGTCTCATGTAGACAGCAGTGAAAATCAGTAGACCTTCTAAAATATATCTATTTTAATCTAGAAGGTACTAAGGTAGTAACTCTGATTGGGAGCTCTCTATATACATGATGAATTAATTAATCAGATGACTGCTCGCTATGGATTGTTCCAGCACACAACAGTAATCAAGCAAAATCTGATGGGGAAAAAAAAGTAAAAGAATGTGAATGGAAAATCACAAATTTAAAGAAGACATACTGACCAGCACTTCAAAACCAAGAATGAGGATAACTTTGACTTGTTCATTCAGGCAGTGAAGGCAGCAAGTAGAAGTTAACACAAGTAAATGACAAGGAAGTGGAGAAAGAGGAATTGGAGAACATCTGATAGAAAATACAGACTGTAAATTGGGGAAGATTATTTAGAGAAAGTAAAGATGTCAGGAGAAATCTAAATTTAGCAGGACTAAGCACAATTAAAAGGAAGCATTTTGTGTTCTTAGGAACAAAATAATGTATATCTAGTAATTGTGTAATCATTATGAGGTGGACAGGGTAAGATTTTAATGATGATGCAGGAAAAATCCCGGAAAAGTGTTGGTTAAACACTTTTTCAAACTTGAGGGGAGAGAAATTAATTCTGATATGAAGGAATATTTCATGGACATATTATAACTAACTAGTTTGTTTTGTAGATTAACATTTTGGGGGCAATAAAGTTTTACAACAATTTAAAATTAAGTATGCCAAATACGTATTGAGAAGATCTATACTCAATGATTTTCATTTTCAGCAAACTGGAACACTAGGGATATCTCATGCAATGGGAAGAATAGTATTGTTGATCCAATACTGGTGGGTAGCCTGGAGAACTATTTCCAATTTAACTTGACATCAGTTTTATCTAAATTACTGGATAGGTCATCTCAATAATCAGGTTTTAATTGCTAGTATTCTTTTGGTTTTGTGGAGCATAAAACTAGTCAAAGTATCTTTCAGAATAATGTTGTAGAAATTGGTAACACTGTCAAAATGGATAACAGAATGAATGCATTGAAAAGGAAATTATCATCCCATCTCCATCATCCCAGATGGAAGCAAACATAAATTCACGTAATTCCCTCAAGTGAGCATATTAACCTGCATCCTAGAATGGAGATAGTCCCACCTTCAAGAGTTGCCAGCAAGAACTTCAAGGATTACATTTCTTTTGGGTTTGAAACTTGGTTAGAAAATCCATTTATAAGAAGGGGCGATGGGAAGTATTTCAAGTACTGGTGAATCTTTTAATTTGTCTTTGCTTTCTTGAAGGCTCTTTTGTTTACACAGTAAGTCAGCTGACTAAACAAAATAGATGTCACACAAGCCTGGTGTGATTCTCATTTTGGAAAACAGGCTGCATTTTGTCTAATGCATGTTATCACTCATCAAAGTTCTAGGAAAAATTACGTATTCTTAAAAACTTAGTGACTGTTGAATAAATCTTGACTCTAAGTTAAGGGACTCTATAAAGCCTGACTTCCCTTATGGTTAGGAACTACTATACAAAAGGGGAGGGAACTGGAAGAACTAACTTCTCTGGTTGCTATTGTACAGCCGTAAGTGTAGGACTGGGAAGGCACTGGTCCTTTATTTTCCAAATAATTATTTGCACTTGTTTTATTTTTCAGAGATAACAAACATGGTTGAAAACAGCAAATATTAATATCTTCCATGTTTAAACTTCTTCACAATAGATGAATTTCTGATGTTGTTGAGATTATAAAAGTTTCCCTTTGACTCTCTAGCAAAGAATAAGCTAATGGATTATTAATAATTAAGACTTGGATAGCAATAGACCTCAAAAATATTCATCAAAAGGAATAATCACTAAACAGCTGTGTTTCCAGAAGTATTCTGCAAGAGGCCCAATGGCATTAGACATTTTCAATAATGATCTAAAAAGTATAAAATCGTTGCTGATTTGCAGATGGAGTTTGTCAGTGCTAGGAGGACCAGTACAAATACCAATTAAGTCAGAGGAAAAAGTCTAAAGAAGCCAAGAGAGGTTGGAAACATAAAGAGCAAATAAAAGGCTTCAAGCCAAGCTTGTAAAAGCACAGCTAATGTGACTTTGGGAGGAAAATTGGACATTCAAACTCTGAATAGATTAGAAAGACAATGTTGTCCTGAAAAAAATATGCAGAGGTGTGTATGTGTGTGTGTATATATATATATATGTATATATGTCTGGGACAGCCATAACTCACTGTTTTAATTTTTTTATGTATATGCTCAGCTGCCTTATGATGGAGGGAGAAGGTTGTCCTCTAGTCAACTTTACTGTGACCACTGCAATAAGCTTTTTGTTTGCCTCTTGACTTCTAATTACCAGAAGCATATAGAAAACCCCCAAAAGGAGAAAAATACATTTAAGAAGCTGGACACTTGAAAAGGGAAGGGTTATAAAAGCTGTAATAATTTATAATCTTTTTATTCTTTCCTAAGTTGCGTAACTGGCCTAGTATAGGAAAAGTATCACTCTTGGTCACAGTCCTTTTTTTTCCTAAGCATCTTTACACCTTTAGCACTTGTTGGTTTGGGAGCAACCAGGAAATGAAACTTTTGGGTTAATACCCTCTGGGTAGGTATTTTGTACCTTCTTACTAGCCCAGTGCTCAGTAACAGTGTTCCACAGAGCTGGATCTGGTTGGAAGTGTGTTGATACAGGAGCTGAGTTCTCAGCTTAGAAAGTATCTGTTCA